AGTAGGACCTTGGTGGATCCTTCATTACTCTGGTCAGTTGTTGGTGCCCTATCGAGTGTAGACATTTATCCATGTCAGCCCAGGAGAAGTTAATGAAGCAGGCACAAAGGTGGGTGTGTCTGTGGGAGTGTGTGTGTGTGTGTCAGTCAAACACACTTCTTGCATGTTCTCCCTGCAGCCTGCCTTGGCTTCAGGAGGAGTCCTGAGAGAGGGACTGTGAGGCGAAAGGAGGTCCTCCTCTCCTAGCTGAGACAGGCCCCGCAACCAGGCTGGGAGGAAGCAGACAGGACTCATCACTTCTCCTTCCTTGCCTTCTCCAGGAGGCTCTGCTCTACAGAGACTGAAGGGCTTGGGATGAGGTTAATCCTCTTGGCAGGATGGATGTGTGTGCACCTACCTACATACCCAGGAGGCCAAACTGCGGAGGAGGAGCTATGGGAAGTGAGAAATGATAACAGGAAAAGGAGAGATGGCTCAACAGTTGACTGCATCCTGCTCTTTTGAGGATCTGATTCCCAGAACCCACCTCGAGCAGCTCAAAATCACCGGTAACTCCAGCTACAGGTGATTCGATGCCCTCTTCTGGCCTCTTTTGGCACTGTATCCATGTGCATAAACCCATTCACAGATAAATAATTAAAAATAAAAAGTAAATCCTAAAGGAGGGGCAGCCTGGTCTACAAAGTGAGTTCCAGGACAGCCAGGGCTGTTATACAGAGAAACCCTGTCTTGACAAACCAAATAAAACAACAGTAATAGTTATTATTATTAATAGGTAGTGGTGGTATATTCCTTTAATCCCAGCACTTGGAAGGTAGAGGCAGACAGATTTCTGTGAGTTTGAGGCCAGCCTGGTCTATAGAGCAAGCTTCAGGATAGTCAGGGCTATACAGAAAAACTAACTCCAAACATCAAACAAACACATAAACAAAACATAATAAATATTGTCCACGTTGAATCAATTACAAAATTCTTTTGTGTGTATTTGTGTGTGTGCGTGTGTGTGTGTGTGTGTAAACTTAAAACCTGGTATCAGGTGTCTTCCTCAATCTGTATCCAGCCTATTGTTGTTGCTGTTGTTATTGTTAGTGCGCTTTTGAGCACATGTGGGTGTGCCATACGTAGCAACTGTGCGAAGGGCAGGGGACCACTTTATGGAATTGGGTCTCTACTACCAGCCTTTCATGGGTTCAAGGCACTGAATTCAGATTGCTACACCTGAGTGAAAAGTGCTTTTACCCACTGAGTCATCTCACAGGCCTCTACCTTGTTTTTTTTTTTTCTTTTTCTTTTTTTTTTTTTTTTTTTTGAGGCAGGATCTCTCTGCCTGAAAGCGTCCAATTTGGCTATGCTGACCCCAAGGATCTTCCTGCCCCTGCCTCCCCACTGCTGGGACAGCAGGAGTTGGCCATCATATTTGGCTTTTAAACAAGGGTTCTGAGGATTCTAATTTAGGTCTTCATGCTTACAAAGCAAGAACTTTCCCTACTAAGCCGTCCCCCTACTCACAGAAGCTCCTTTTTAAGTACAATGTGCTCCAGAAGTTGGGGAGTTACAGAGTCTATTGCTCCCATAGCTGTTCAGCTCACAGCACAGGGGCAATAAGTAAGTCAGTCTCTCTCTGCTTCTGTCTCAATGGGAAAACTCATTTTTTCCTTTGGCAGATGGTTGAATCACAAAGACAGAAGGATTCATAAAATTCACATGAACATCCTGTAAACATTTAAACACACTGAGATTAGATAAGGCAACTATGACCTTGATTAAAGTTGAGCTATTTTTTTTTAAGTCTATAGCAATAATCCTGATTTGTAGGCTGGGGCTCCACGCCTCTATTGAAAAGCTCCTTCTCACTGGTTATGCTCCGTATATAAGCAAGCACACGCCACCTGATTAACTTGTAAAACTGGAAATAAAAGGCATCAAAAGAAGCAACATTTTGGAACACCTATGTGGGGTCTTACTCCACTGAATTGGATTGAGTCTACAACACAGGAACACTTCAACAAAAATCAATCGGTAAGTTACAGAAAACATATTCATCATCCCCCTGTCTGTTCCGACCCATGCCCTTCGCCAATTAACGGTTTTATCCCAACTGGAGATGCTGGCCCAGAACTAGATTTATGTAGGATTGAAAACTCTGACCTGCAGAGGCTAAATGGCTTGTTCAAGCACACAAGCAGAGGGATGGACTTGAGCCAGGGCCCCTTGCTGTTACAGCCTGGGGCTCTGTCTCCAAGCTGAGCAGGCCAACACCAAAGTTGCCAACTCCAGAGTCCCTGGCCCACTCAGCCAGTGAGCTTACCGCTGCCCTCCAACAGTGAAATTTTATGGACCAAATCCGCACACCCACCAGACCACCAGGCTTGGAGGCATAACCTTCCCAGCTAAGCCTGCTACTCTGAGACCAGAAGCCTGCCAGGTTCCTGTGGAGAAGAGGGGGTGATACGTGGCTTTGAACATGACCCTGAAGAGGGCCAACGTGGGACTCCCTAACACCCTTGTTAATGTACCCAGTAAGAGAAGGCCTTTAAGAACGTCCCTGCTGTGTCTGTTACCTGGGGTAAACCTGTCCTTTCTTGCAAAGCTTTAAAACAGAGTGCGTGCATGCGTGTGTGCGTGTAGACATATGTACATACAAACAGAGAGACCTGACTGACTTTTAGGTAAGCAAGCCGGCTTTTCATATTTACTTGAACTTGATGCGAGAGAAGACGACAGCTGAAGGACCTGTCCGCCATATATCCAGTAACACCGCTGCTACTACCAGGAGTAAAAGCAGACACCAAACCACATGTGCCTAGCGACGCGCACTGCACCTGTCTCCCAGGAGTTACCGACATCAATTCTACACAGTGATCTTTTTTTTGGAGGGGGGGGGGATAGTTGTTTTCCTGATATTTAGCAATTTGAAAACTCTGCTAAGCTGTTTGAGATCCCCCTGCATCCCTCAGTCTCCTCCAGGGAGAAAGGGTTGAGTACCAGGTACTCTGCCTACTTCAGCAACACCTGGACTTGCCCACCAATTCTGGAGCTTGTCATTCACGCTACCATGGGAAATTAGCATAAGGCATTAAGGGGAAACTCCAGGGGAGGAAAGGAAGGCCATTTTGATGGAAATAAGGGGCCGAGGAATAATCCGTCATCAACTAAAATGCTTATTTGTGTACGTTTCCCAAGCAAAGCTTAGGAGAAAAGCCTGTGTTGATTTTAGTATACACAAAGAAACCTTAATCCTTTCAAGGCCACTGAAATCACCCCTCACTTCTCTCAGAAAAGCAGCTCAGAAGAAAGGCACCCGGTCAGGGGTATGGCTGTGCACTGCCAAATCGACGCCACACATCACTCAGTGGAAGCAAACACAAATAAGAACACGGGAAGTGCCGGACTGGAAACTCGAGGCTGGGGGTAGGATGGGAAAGAGAGAGAAAAGATAGGAAGGAGAGAGCGAAGGGGCTCAGCCATCAGTCTGGGTTTTCCTCCTCAAGTAGCAATTGGAGCCAAACCCAGAGCTTAGAAAGGGCCATAGCAACTTAGCACCAAAAAAAAAAACAAAAAACAAAAACAAAAACAAAAAAACCCAACCTGTCCCAGGTGACTGGAGGTATGTGTGTGCCAGGGTTGGGAAGGTCAGAGAATCATACCAACTGCTTCGGATAGTGAGTGACCTGCCCTGCCTCAGTTCCCTCTTCTGTTACCTTTCCTTTTACTTTAAATCAAGGACACCTCCAAGGCCCACTAATTCTTCCCTCTCAATAACACGATCAGAAAGCCATCATATGTTCCTACCATTGAGAAAGATGTGCTGGCAAGAAACATCAGCTGTCACTGGGCTTTTAGAATTATGAATAACAAATTTATACAAACTTCTCAGGTCATTAAAAATGTGATGAAATATAAAGCTGGAATCGTATCATGCAATTAAAATCCAAGATCATATTCAATATGACATTAATTCTGAGAGTCCCAGCAAAGTTCTAAGCCCTGGGGACAACTTCAAATATAATGTACTGTTTAAAAATCAAGGTAGGTTCAATTTCAAAACAATGGGAGAGCACAAATTAACTGTACACAGACCTCTTACTAACTAGTAAGCAAAAAGAACAAAAATTAAAAATTTTAAAAATGAAATAAACTGTTTGCTGAAATGGTCTCCCATTTCACCCCATGAGCACCTAACTCCTGATCCAGTGCGGGTCCAGCACTCCCAAGCATCCTTAGTGATACAGAGAGTACCACAGGCCAGCACATCTTTATTTAGCTATTATTTAGCAATAGTTATCGTGCAAGCCCCTAAGTCAGGTTCTATAGCGGGAAGGGGAAGGTGGATTGCTATCCCTTGCATCACTCAGATGGCACACCTATCGAAGCCAGTGCAAGGAGACTCCCCTAAATTTCATTGTGGCTAAAGACACTTCTGCAAAATGAAGACTGCTAAGAAACCTCCCGGCAGTTATTTAGGGTGAGTCTTCCCCAGATGCATCTCGGCATCATTAGCCTCTCTTACTCTTTAGACTGAGGTTTGCAAGAAATAAATGGAGAAGTGCGTAATTAAATTCTGCCCTCTTGCACATTTATTAACTTTACAGAGAGCCCAGAGCAGAAAGGTTGGCTTATGGCTATGATGCCGTGTATACTAAACACCCCCGCTGGTTGTTACCGTCTGAGGTCCACATGTACTATTTATAATGCTCCCGACTGCCGGAAGTTGATAACCAGCAATCAAGACATTGTAAAAACATTCTCCTCGATTGCAGCTGCCTACATGAAATTAACACCACCGATCAATTTAAACAAGGAATCAGTAAATTCTTTCAAAGTGAACTTTCCCTCCCCCATCTCCAAAACATCCAGATTGCACAGCGCGCCAAAGCACAAAACGTGAAGACAAAAAAGACCACATGGATTTTCCTTCTCTCCTTCTTCTCAGACAATGGCAATGAGATGCATATTTATTTTAAAGCCATCATTTAGATTAATAAAGAGGGGGGTCTTACCTTTGTTTATAAGAACAGTGTTAAAGAGTTTTTCGGAGCTAGCATCTGATGCCTGAAAAACAAGAAGGCGTGAAGACTGTCAGCAAAGACCATCATCCACAGCATCCTGGGTTGCTATGATTTTAAATCAATTGACAATATTTTAGGAAAATATAAGAGCCCGTAATTTCCCCAAATCCTCCATAAGGTGGTGCTGGTTGACTGTGGGAGAAAGGCCTGCACTGCAGCTATTTATTGGGGGAAAGAGGGAAAAAAAAATCTGATTTTCAAAATGTGTCCTTATTAGACATATTATCGGTTCAAAACATATTTCTATGAAATGGTCCACAAGGCAATTTAGCTGATTCACAAATGATTTACCAATTCTGTTGACAGATCATTATTTTGAAAATGCCTTTTTGTGGTTTTTTTGCCACTAGATTTTCTGTTTTTCAATTTTCTTCTACAAATTAGAAATCTATATCTTTTGGACATTAAGCTTTTCCTCACTAAAGTGTCAACCATTATACCCAGAAATTAATTTGTTTTTGAAGGTGTTTCGATGACCCTGATGTTCAGGGTTTCTCACAGTAACCAGGCCAACCTCAGTGTTTCAGATGAGGGTTGACCCTGTTTAAAACCTGGCCACTATGCCACCAGGGTTACTTCCTTTTCGTGTTTTTCAGAGATCATGTCTGCTAATTATTACACTGGCATGAGGGAAGCCAATAGCTTATTTAAATAGCAAGATTAAAGTCAATTTAAAACATATACTAATGTGCTGGGAAATGAACGGTGAGTAGTGGGTTTCGTGGAAGAGGCGGTAATGTTGACGATTTATTGCTTATTCCTAGGACTTAGAAAAAAGGTAAAATTAGTAAGTTCACTGTTCTGATTTGAAGATACCCCTTGGAAACGTCAAGGCCCACCTACATTTATACTGTGTTTGACTTATAACCCTAATGAGAAAACTCTTATCTTTCATGTTTTATACAGAAATGCATAAATTTGACCAAGCAAGTCACAGAATGTTCAATAAATATGAGAGAAAGAAATATGGGGAACAGGGGCGAGGAAACTTGGGCTGGCTTTGGGGGACAAAGAAGATATTCTACGTAGTCTTTCAATGCTACATTGATGGAGATGAAATATTTCTGTGTATAACTGAGGGAAATGTTCCAGTTCACAAGGCCAGGGATATAAAAAGACCTAACCTATTTTTTTTATTATGGCTGGTTCTCATTTATTTTAATTCTAATCTTCCTGCTGCAGGGGTGAGTTCAGAGGATTAATAGGATCAAGGGCAAATTGTACAAAATAAGGATTCAATCGCATTCACATGTGAAAAACCATACAGAGATTCCACCCTCTACTTTTGTAGGAAGAATAAAATGCAGACGTAGCTGTCCTCACATCGTAAGAAACACTAAATGAAATTATATTACGTTATAGTAGCATTTCATAAAAATGAGCCACAGAGAAAGTCTTCAGGGAGGGTACACCAAACAGTCCATGAGATCCGCACGGCACGCAGAGACGTGTGAGTCTGACAAAGCACAGGATTTCTCTGCTGCACCAGAGGTGTTACTACACCCACACAGGAAAGCGATGTCTACATTTGTGAGCTTTCCCGTTTAAAATCTAGCAATTCAAAGAGTTTTCCTCATTCTGAAAACGCTGTTAATTGCTCTTAGAATGCTCATTAGCAAGTCATGGCTTCAAAACTAAAATGGAGTTAATGTCTTTTGAAAGAAAAAAAACTACACACATGCACACACAAGCAACACCCTGTCTCTTCAATTATTTTACAAAACTAAAATATCACTCGGAAAATTGGGGGTTTTCTGGTACAGAGAGACTAACGGCATACATAAATAGGTTTGGTTTTTTTCTTTTTTAAATTACTGCTTTTCCAAAACGGCAAAAAGCATAGCTGGAGGAAGCAACTGGTTAAGGTTGCATTTTCAGTAGCTCTGGGTATGGAAGCCAGGGCAGGATTAGGCTGTAGGTGGCAGCCCCTGTGATTCGGTCCCCTTTGTGAGCACCACGGGGCCGGCGCTGAATATACTCTCAAGTAGATAGCCAAGTGACCCAGAGGACCTGATGCTGCTGTGTCCAGCATCAAGGAAACATGTCCGATGGATATTCAGGACGCTCAGAGCAATGCCTTCTAATGGAAGCTTTTTGAACCCTTCAATTTACTGATATCCGCCACAAAATGCTGAATTGTCTCTCGCGAGCCTTGTATTAAAGAGATGTCTCAAAAAAGGCCTCCTTTGTAAAAAGCAAAAACACCAAAGGTACACATGTCTAGGTGGCTTGGGGAAAAAGTCCTTCTGGTCCCTTGTTCTCCCATCTGGCCTAGTGAACCACCTTCATCCAAATTCCTCGGGAGCCCCCTGGGCAAAGTCTTGATAGGTGCAAATTTCGCGTAGCTCTTTCTTCAAGGAACTTTCCTTCCTTTCACACTTTTAAAAATCATTTGTGCAGAGTGGGTGTGATGTCTCAGCAGGTAAGTGTGTTTGTTGCCAAGTCTGCCAACCTCAATTCGATCACTGCACCCACATAAAGGAGGAAGGAGATAACGGATTCCTGAAAGTTGTCCTCTGACCTCGTCATATACCCTCCACATACATAAACACGTACTTTTTTTTTTTATAAATCGTTTGAACAAATCGCTGGGTTCCTTGGCTCCTTAATCGTGGAGACGTGTTCATTTTGTTACTTTTAAAAGAAAAAAAGTACATTTCCCTCTATGACTTGGATCATTTCCCTAGCCAGTTTTTCTTTTTTCTTTTTAAATTCACAACGACTAATGCAGGTGCGGTGAATCTAGCGGCAGGCGCACCGGTGTCTTCCCTCATCTCTCCGGCACCCAGTACCTTTAGCTGCTCACATTTTAATGTATCCGTTGCCATTTCGTTTCCTCGTCTTGACTTTGATGGGCTTTATACACTTAGAGGAAACAAGCTCTGTAGGGCATTTTTCCGGGAAGGTAAATGGGTGTTATTTGCCTTTATATCAATACTTGCTATGCTCTAGAAGCTGTAGCTGGCGTGGAAAAAAAAAGTTAAGTCAAGCAGGTTGGCTAATAAGAAAAATGAATAAAAATAAAGAAATAAAAACCGCCCGCACACACGGGTGGGTCCCAGACGTCTGGAGCTGCACCCGGATCTCCTTAAAACTCGGATCACCGAGGCGGCCCTCCAAAGCCGCACCAACAGTAAGGAGGACTTCGGGAGCAGCCAAGACAATCCTCTTGGAAACTTAAGCGCCGGTGAGTTCCTGCACCAGCCAGGCTCTTCGCTTCCTCGGGCTCCGCGTGCGCACAAGAAGGAGGGCGGGGACCCGGAGATCAGTGAGGGGGGACAGTGACCCGTCAGCAGGCAGCACCGCGCCAGGAAGCCCTTCCTAGCCCAAACGGACGCAGGCATTCCAGCTTGGGGTCTAGTGGATCTCACTGGGGAAGCATGGGTCCCCTTCCCGGAGGTGGGATCGTCTCTATCCGCCAGGGCTTCCCGGGCAGGCGCTCGTGGCTCACCGGCCGAGCCCAGCGGGTGAAGGGAGCCAGGAAAGTACAAAGGGGAGCGGGGGAGGGGTGAGGGAGGGAGGCCGGGCCCGCCAGACGCCAGCAGCCCGCCCCTGTTACCACCCTGGCCCGGTGGCGGCCGCAACAAAAGACCCCTCGACCCCTGCCTCCTCCCCCGCAACCGCAGGCGGCGAGCAATTGAGTCATCCCACCCCACCCCCCCAGGGGTGCGGGGAAAACATTACCTGGTCGCCAGGGGTTCCGCGGTCTTGTCAACCCCAAGTTCATGGTTTGGGTCCTCCGCCGGGTTCCCTCCGGCTGGATCACCACTCACCACTACCCGCAGAGAGCAACCAAAACCCACAGCAAAGAAAACGCCCAACTCCAGCCGGCCCGGCTAGGTCCACGAGTCTGTGTGTTTTGCTAATTCCTCTCCAAAGTCTCAAAGCCGAGGCACGCGAACCAAATCCGAACCGGAGCCGCAACAGCAGCAGCGGCCGCAGCAGCAGCACCCGGCTCCTCCGTGGCAGCCGGGAGTCAGCACCGCGCGCGCACATCCAACGCAGCCAAGTCCAGGGCAGGGAGATGGGGAGGGGGCCGGCCCGCGCGCTCTCCGGGTGGCTCCTGTGGGGCGCGCGGGGGACCGGCTGGATCAGACCAAGGGCTCAACTTGGTGCGCCCTGGGGACCTGGCAGAGCTGAAGAGCAGCGGCCCAGGAGCCGCCGCCGTGGCGCGCGTAGCTAAGATCGAGGCGGCTGCGGCGGCGACAGGACAAAGGAGACCATGTGCGGAGGGAGGGAGGAGGGAGAGGGAGGAGGAGGGCGTTCGGCGGCAGCGGCGAAAGCTGCTCCCCGGCGGCCGCCTCCGGCTCCCCGACAGCGGGTGCCGCCTGCACGGCAGCGCCGCGGGGTGATCTGATGGGTTCTGGGTCCGCCGCGGCGTGGCACCGAGACGCTCCGGGGGTGGCGATCGGCCGCGGGTGTCGCCCGCGTGCGGTGCGGAGAGCTGTGGTTGAAGCTGCTGCGGGGCGCGGACTAGCTCTGCTCCGGCCTGCCTCTCCCGCCTGTTCCCGGCTCAAGTGAACTCCATCGGCGGCACGCCGCCAGCGCCACCGGCTACCCGGGGCTGGTTCGTGGCAGGGAAAGGGGTCCCTGGTGGCGACGCGGGGACACCTCTTTCTCCCGCCCTAGCTCTGGCGCTCTGGACTTCGCTCCCCGGATTGTACCAAGCGCGCCTTACTCCAGGCGCTCGCGGCTCTCGGAGCGGGACTTCTCGGCGCGCCCAGCCGGAGCCGCCAGCCGGTGCCACCGCCCCTCCTCCGTCCCGCCCCGCGCGCCCCGCCCCTCGCCGCCCCTCCTCTCCGCCCTGGCGCCCGGTTGGCCCCGCGGGGGCGCAGTCCCTGGGTGCGACACTGACAGCTGTGGCTCCCACTACATCCCGCCTCCGGTAGCAGATCGGGCCCCTAGTCCCCTTGGCGCCTTTCCCCGCGGGCAGGAACCGCGAAACTCCACTCCCTTTGCAGTTAGGGCTTCCGAGATTTGTGC